TAGACCTGAAGGGCAGCTAGGGACCATGGTCTCAGTGGTTCCACCAGGCTCTATCAGACCAGCAAACCTGATCCCCCCTTTTTCCTTTTTTTTTCCCAAATGATTTTGAGTTTTGTTCCACATTGTTCTCCCTCTCTATCCAGGGTCACCTCCATAGATTCCCCTCTGAGTGGTTGACAGTGGTAGCAGGGCACCATCTAGTTCTTCTGGTCTCATAGTCATATAGTCTGTGGATCGCATGGTGTACCAGTCACAAGGACTAATTGTTTCCATGAATCTTCAGTTTTCTTCATTCTTCTTTGCTCTGGACGAGGAGAGACCCATCGTTGCATCTAGATGGCTCCTTGTAAGCTTTTACGATCCCAGTCGCTACTTGCCAAAGTAGGAGGTGGAACAATATTTTGTGTAGTATGTTATGCCAATTGAGCTTGATGTCCCCTGCGACTATGGTTCTGAGCCCACAGGTTCAACTACTCGCTCCCTCTGGGTAGCTGGCTGTGACCAAGAAGTGATTACAACCTTATCCCTTGTCAGCTCTACTATACACCTGGGAATTCTTACTGATCATACAAATACACTTGTAGAACCATTGTAGACAGACATATTTTTATAAAATGGAATCATGCAGAAACCTTCCATGCTTATTGCCAAATGAAAGAAGCCTGTCTGAAAAGGTTACATATGATTCCACTATATAACAATCCGGAAAAGGCAAAACCATAGAGACAATAAAAAGATTGATGGTTGCCAGGGGTTCAGGAGGAGAGAGAAGGAATAAATAGGTGGAGCACAGGGCACTTTTAGGGCAGTGATGCTGTATGATACTGGAATGATGGACACATGACAATATTCATTTCTCAAAAACCATAGAACTATAGGACGAAGAGTGAACAGGAGTGTTCACACAAAGAGTTCAACATAAAGAGTGAATTCTAATGTAAACTATGGACTTTGATTAATAATAATGTATCAATATTGGTTCATCAATTGTAACAAATGTACCACACCAATGCAAGATGTTAAGAATGTTGTTGTTGTTAAGTGCCGTCGAGTCGTTTCCAACTCATAGCAACCCCATGCACAGCAGAACGAAACACTGCCCAATCCCGCACCAGCCCCACAATCCCTGCTATACTTGAGCCCATCATCGCAGCCACCATGTCAATCCATCTCATTGAAGGCCTCCCCCTCTTTCGTCGACCCTCCACCCTACCAAGCATGACATCCTTCTCCAGGCAATGGTCCCTTCTTACAACATGACCAAAATAGGTGAGATGAAGTCTGGCCATTCTTGCTTCCAAGGAGCATTCTGGCTGCACTTCCTCCAGGACGGATCTGTTAGTTCTTTTAGCAGTCCATGGTACTTTCAGCATTCTTCGCCAGCACCACAACTCAAAACATCAACTCTTCTTCGGTCTTCCTTATTCATTGTTAAGAATAGTGGAAATTATTGATAACAGGAAGGAGAGGGGGTTTATGGGAACTCTGTGTATCCTGCTCAGTTTTCTTCTAAACCTAAAACTGATCTTAAAATTAAAGTCTACTTGTTAAAAAAAAATAAAATCATGCAAGACATTTTTAATAACAGAAAACACTTAATGTTTTTGCATTTAACAAAATAAAAAGGAATGTGAAGCTGAGGAAGTACTTCAAATAACTGTTTCTTTACATAAAAGATACTATTTTCTAAAATATTTCTCTTGTTATGTTGTTATGTACCATCGAGTTAGACCTGAGTCATAGCGACCCCTCCTTGGGTTTCTGAGGCAGTATCACTACAGAGGTGGATTGCCCAACCTTCCTTCCAAGGAGTGGCTGGTGAGTTTTAACCGCCAGCCTTTTGGTTAGCAGTCAAGTGCCTTAGGCACTACACTACCAGAGCTCCTAAAATATTTCTCTAAGATTAAAATATCAATTATGAGAATATTATGTTGTTGGGCTCATTTTGTTGCCATCACACATATTCAAATTATATAGTAGTTATTGATTGTCTGCTCTGAAAGATGGGCACAATACTCATCATCAAGCTGATTCTGACCCACAGCAACCCTATAGGACAGAGTAGAACTACCCATAGGGTTTCCAAGGCTGTAAATCTTTACAGAAGCAGACTGTCTCATCTTTTCTCCCATGGAGTGCCTGGTGGATTTGAACCACCAACCTTTCCATTAATAACTGAGCACTTAACAACTGTGCCACCAGGGCTCCTTGATGGACAAAACAGCACACATAATTTCGACCACCTTCCCTCCCCCTCCTCCTGATTGTTACAGATATGTTACTGCTTTTATATTGTACAGGTTGACTACATTTACATTCTCTCTCACACAATATAGTTCCCAAAGCTTTTAATATTATTTCCATATTTAAATGGATTCAATGCTCACCATCTACCCTTTTACCATGGACTCTTTACTCATTTGTTCTTTCTTTTGATTTATTTCTCAGTTGGCTGGATAGGAGCACCAAACAGCTTTTTTTTTTCCCCCAAGAAACATTTACTGTCTATATTTAAACATCTTTGCTGGATACAGTATTGTTGTGTCACACATTTTCTCCTCCAGAACCTGGTGGACATTGATCCATTGTCTTCTGGCAATGAGGGCTGCTGTGAAGAAGTCTGAAGGAGTCCTGGTGGTAGCACAATGGTCAAGCACTTGGCTGCTAGCTGGAAGGTCAGCAGTTCAAAACCCACCGCCTATTTTGTGGGAGAAAAGACCTGGCAATCTGCTCAAGTAAAGATTGCAGCCTGGGAAGCCCAAAGAGGCAGTTGGACTCACTATGAGTTGCAATCAACTTGACCACACACAACAACATAGAGAAGTCTGAGGCCAACCTGATTTCATTCTTCCCATTAGGGGATTTGCTTTTACTGCCTGAATGCAAGAAAAATTCTTTCTTTATATTTGATGTCCAGTATCTTAACTACAATTTGTCATGCTTGCCACTTCACTTCTGCTTTCCAGATGTTGCACAAATTTCTCTTTCAACAACACTAACTTCAGACAATATGGTTGAGAGGGTTCTGGGAAACAACTCTAACTTAATCAAGCTGATATAGTACACGCATGACAGAATCCATTTTTCCCTATCTCTAGAATTCAACAATCCCATATTCTGAATAAAATATGCTTGTCAACTTAGCATATGATAGACACTTAAATTAACATTTGGTATGAAATTGCAACATAATGTTATGGTTGATCTTCAACCTACGTAGCTATAACGACCGTGTTGTTGTAGTTTGCTGCCATTGAGGTCTCCCCGACTCATGGCAACCCCATGCAAGTGGAATGAAATGTTGCCTCGTTCTGCACCACCCCCAAGATCAGTTGCAGATTTGACTATTGTGACACAAGGTTTTCATTGGCTGATTTTCAGAAAAAGATCAACAGCCCTTTCTTCCTAGTTCTTCTTAGCCTGGGAGCGCCACTGAACCCTGCATCACAGCATCACAGCAACATGCACACCTCCACTCAAAGGCAGATGGGTTGTGGCATTGGTTGGAAATTGGACCCAGGTCTCCCCCATATAAGGCGAAAATTCAATCACTAAACCACCATTGCCCTCCATAATTTCTCAGATAGCCAATAAACACTTGCTATCATTCCCAACCACCTGTAATTATGGGTTAGAACCAGAAATTGAAAAGTTGAAAATAACTTGCTGTGAAACAGATATAAATAGATTCAGATATAAAACTTTGTACATAATTAACTATAACTAATATTTCCCCTTTTATAAAATGTTTAATGCATTATCTTTATTTCTAAATATTTGATGAGACACTAAAACATGTGACTAAAACTGGTAGTCTGCTTTCTTACCTAACACCTATTCTGTTGCCTGTAGATGCTGAACATTGGAGAAATACTTACCTAATAGTCCTACAGACACTGGAAAAACTTGGCTACATCTTTGTTACAGTATTTGAAGCTACAGATAGACTGTTAATTTCATCATTCTTCTGTGAATACAGGAGGAGCTCTGGTGGTGGAGTGCCTAAGGCACGTGACTGCTAACCGGAAAGAAGGCTGGGTTCAAACCCAACAGCCAGTCCTCGGAAGAAAGGTTCTGCAATCTACCTCCGTAGTGATACCGCCTTGGAAACCTAAGGAGGGGTCACTATGAGTCAGATCTGACTTGGTGACAATGTGTTGCATTTGTTGTCTGTGAATACAGATGGATGACCCTTTGTATTTGCAGATTCTGCACCACGAATTCAACCAATTATGAACTGAAAATATTCGGAGATAAAAAAATCTGGACTATATGAAGAACTCAGCATCAGGATTGGAGGAAGACTCATTAACAACCTGCAATATGCAGAAGACATAACTTTGTTTGCTGAAAATGAAGATGACTTCATGAACATCAGAGAGTACAGCCTTCAGTATGGATTATACCTCAACATAAAGCAACATAAAGAGAACAAAAATCCTCATAACTGGGCCAATAAGCAACATTATGATAAATGGAGAGAGAACAGAGTTTATTAAGAATTTCATTTTAGTTGGATTCACAATCAACACCCATGGAAACAGTAGTCAAGAAATCAAAGGATGTATTACACTGGGCAAATCTTTAGCAAAAAACAAACAAAAATAATAATGGACTTGAACACCCAAGGATTTTAGTATCAGAGGGGGTCCTGGAACCAACCCCCTCATGGATACCAACAGGCAACTGTAGTTGGGGGATTTTCTCCTCCATCTTTTCTTTTCTTCTTTTTTCGGTTGTTGTTGGGGTTATTTGACTTGGTTTCATCCCCCTACCCCCCAATAAAATGTTTCATTTTATTATAATGCATTGCAGCCACTCGGGTATCGGGCCGGGGTGAGTCCCATCAGAAGCCCTGGCTGTCTGTTCACAAAGCCACGGGAGCTGAAACTTGAGGGTACACAACTGCATCTCCAAACCCACTTTTCCCATCCCAGTGCTGATGTTTCATTGTGGGGAAGCCTATCTGGGAGGCAATTCCAGGAACCAGAAGCCTGGGGAGAGTGAGAGGAGGAGATAAAGGTAATGTAAGGGCACAGTGGGAGCTCTGGTGGCGTAGTAGCCAAGGCTTTTGACGGCTAACCAGAAGGCTGGCAGTTCAAACCACCACCCACTCTTTGGAAAGAAGGTTGGGCAATCTACTTCTGTAGAGATATTGAAACCCAAGAAGGCCTCGCTATGGGTTGAATTGACTCAATGGCAGTGAATTTGGATTTTGGTTTTAAGAGCACAGTATCAGTGTCATAGATGTGGACATTTGGGGCCAGATCCCATCAGGGATCTTCTGTAAAATGCATAGAATGACTCTCAGGGATGTTTACTAGAAACAAAGATGACCTGAGCCTGGAATAAGAGACAGTAAGAAGGATTGTAGAGCAATGAGCTGGGGGAGGTGGTAGGAAAAGGAGTGTAGGGTGGAGGCGTGTTGTAAAGCCTGTTGAGGCCTCATCTTCAATGACCAATGGACCCCTTAGGGAAGAGAAATATTCAGATTTTCATTTTTAAAAATGGTTATGCTTCCTCTTCTGCAAGTGGGCCCCAGGCAAGTTGTAAACCAAACCATCATGACAATATCTGGCATAACTGGTCTGCACTGGTGAGGGTCTTTAAATACTGGGAGCTTCTTCTAAAGATGTAAATCTTGCCTTCAGGTTTAGCTCAGGTTGGAGGAGTGAACATCATTTACAGCCTCCCCGCTAACTCAAATCTCTAAAAATGAGATTAAATATGGTCTTGATGTGTAATAATATATAAACAATGTAGAAAAACTGGAAGGGGGATTTTAATAAATGAGAAAACTAAAAAAATACTTGAAAGAGAGAACACAGTCAGAATTAGATTTTAAAAGGAGCCCTAAGCTGGAGCACACATGGGAGAGGACCCTTGCATACCAGTGAGGATGTGAGGTGGCTCCAAGGACACTCAGAACTCGAGGTATCAGAGACTGGGAGCAGGAATGGCTCTGAGCACCTGATGGGGAATTGTTGGGGCACCAGAGTAGGAGCTGTCAGGTGAATACTCCCTGTCCCCACTGTCTCTGGGACTGTTGTTAGGTACCATCAAATAAATTCTGACATATAGTGACATATATATGACAGAATAGCACTGCCCTATAGGGTTTCCTACACTGTAATCTTTACAGGAGCAGATCACCAGATCATTTTTACTATGGAGTCACTGGTGGATTCGAACCACCCACCTTTTGATTAGCAACTAAGTGTTTAACTATCACACCACTAGGGGTTCTTGAACTAAGCAGCAGCAAGAGTTGTCTGTCTTCATGCAGGAACAAGTGGTGTGAGCTTTTAGTCACCAGGATAATGCCCCAAGGGGCTGGCAACACCAGGGAGGAATGAGGAGCTGCCATGACAAAAAGCCTCTCTTGTCTGACTCCTCACCCCCCATCCTGGAGATGCAATAAAAAGTCAAAGACTGGCCAATAGGAATTCTCAAATACAAAGGTGATCCCTCAGCTGGCTAAGAATTTCCAAACAACTGTGGAAAGTCAGCTCAGTGAAAAGAAAGATACCATCCTCCTACCAAGAGCAGAACCTACATCTGAGGAACAGGCAGATAAATCTATTGTCCAATAGAATGAGCCAAACAGAACAATTAATATTCTCAGAGAGATAGATGCAAGATTACCATGTTGCAAATATAACATATGGTTATTTTCTAAAAAAATTTGATAACTGAAGAAAAAAAATCAACATGCAGACTGAATAGTAGAATGGGCTACTGAAGAGCAAAATACCCCACTGCCATTGAGTCAATTCTGCCTCACAGAGACCCTATAGGGCAGAATAGAACTGCCCTACACGGTTTCCAAGGCAATAAATCTTTACGGAAGAAGACTGCCTCATCTTTCTCCTGCAGAATGGCTGGTGGGTTCAAACTGCTGACCTTTTGGTTAGCATCTGAATACTTTAACCACCAGAACTCCTCGAAGAGCAAAATATGAGCTATGAAATCAAATCAAGGGAATCTTCCAGAATACAGCAAGGATTTTAAAAATATGAAATACAAAGAGATATGGAAAATAAATTGTACTTCACCAAAATGAAAAACTTCTGCTCTTCAAAAGACACTGATAGAAGAATGAAAAGACAAGCCACAGATTGGAGAGAATATTTGTAAAGCATCTATCTGTTTAAGACATATCCAAAATATGTAAACTAACAAAAATCAATAATAAGAAACAGCTCAATTGAGAAATATGCAAAAGTTTTGGACTGATACTTAACTAAAGAGGATATGCAGATGGCAAACAAGCCACATAGATAACATGCTCAATAGTATTAGTCATTAAACAAGCAAACAAAACTGTTGCTGTCTAGTCAACTCCAACTCATGGTGATCCCATGCGTCAGAGTTGAACTGTGTTCCACTTTCAATGGCTAATTTCCTTCTTCTTGTTTTTTTTTTTTTTTAATTGTGATTTGGATGAAACTTTACAGAGCAAATTCACTTTCCATATAGCAGTTCACATACTTTGTCTCATGACATTGACTACAGTTTACCACAATGCAAAAGCTCCACTACCACTTCCTCCCCATAGTTACCTCTTCCGTGTGTCCTTCCATCCTATGCACTGCTACCCCACCAGCTGCCTCCCTGTGCACACATAGCCCTTCTATTCTCCCATGATTGATCTCTCCAGGGAGTGTATCTACCTAATGTAAATGTTCACCTCATATGCCTGTCTTTCGTTTGGCAGGAAGCCACAGGAATGGGTTCAAGTCCAGACTTGAAGGGCAGGTGAGGGCCATGGTCTCAGTGGTTCCATCAGGCTCTATCAGACCAGCAAACCTGGTCCCTTTTTTTTTTTCTTTTCCCCAAATGATTCTGAGTTTTGTTCCACATTGTTCTCCCTCTCTATCCAGGATCTCTGAGTGGTTGACAGTGATAGCCGGGCACCATCTAGTTCTTCTGGTCTCAAAGTTGTATAGGCTGAGGACTGCATGGTGTACCCATTGCTTAGACTAACTGTTTCCATGAATCTTTGGTTTTCTTCATTCCTCTTTGCTCTGGGCGAGGAGAGACCCATCGTTGCATCTAGATGGCTGCTTGCAGGCTTTTAAGATCCCAGACATTAATTGCCAAAGTAGGATGTAGAACAATGTTTTGGGTAGTATGTTAGGCCAATTGAGCTTGATGTCCCCTGCAACTCTGGTCCCGAGCCCACAGGTCCAACTACTCATTCCCTCTGGGTAGCTGGCTGTGCCCAAGAAGTGACTTGTCCCTTGTCAGCTCTACTATATATCTGGGAATTCTTACAGAACATAGCAATATACTTGTAGAAACACTGTCTGCCAACACTACACATGGTCTTAGACACACTGCCCCCTGCACAGACATACCTTATAATTCAGCCTGTCCACCCACATACCCATGTTTGCCTTCACTGACAACGCAGTACTGTATGTGCAAAAGGGTTCATCTTTGTTGTCTGTACCTCCCATGCATCTATGTCTTCTTCTTCCTCAATGCTACTGTGTTGATCACTCATATTTGGTACATTGCCCTTCTCTTCACCCAAATCAATACTTGTCTCTACCTACCTAACAGTGTTCCCTGCCCTTCCCTCTCATTCCTGGTAACCAACAAAGAAAATTTCCTTCCATAGATAAACGTTTCCTTGACTTTTTACAACAACAGACTAATACAATATTTGCCTTTCTGTGATTGACTTATTTCACTCAGGATAATGTCCTCCAAGTTCATTTACATTATGCAGTGTTTTGTAGATTCTACATTACTCTTTAGGGTTGCATAGTATTCCATTGTGTGTATGCACCATAGTTTGGTTATCCATTCTTCAGTTGATGGACACCTAGGTTGTTTCCATCTTTTGGCTATTGTAAATAGCGCTGCAATGAACATGGGTGCGCATATGTCTGTTCTTGTCCTGGCTTTCACTTCTTTAGGATTGTTATTGTTGTTGTTGTTGTTACATGCCATAAAGTCGGACCCAACTCACAGCAACCCCCTCTTTGGGTTTCCAAGGTGGTATCACTATGGAAGTAGATTGCCCAACCTTCCTTCCAAGGGGTGGCTGGTGAGTTTGAACCACCAGCCTTCTGGTTAGCAGTCAAGTGCCTTAGGCACTACACTACCAGAGCTCCTATTCTTTAGGATATATACCTAGTAACAGAATGGCTGGGTCAAATGGTATTTCTAATTCCAACTTTTTAAGAAATCACCATACTGCTTTCCATAGTAGTTGTATACCATTTTACAGTCCCACCAGCAGTGTATGAGAATCCCAATCTCTCCACATCCTAACCAGAATTTGTTATTTTCTGTCTTG